CTGTTTCAGTACTATCTTCTGAAATAGAACTTCTAAAGTTGTCTATAGGAGAACTAAGGCCGAGTTAAGGGACTTAAAAAACAATAAGTCAGTAGATCCTGGAGTTTCTGAAACCAATACCAAAATATCCAAATTATCAGATCAGATCGGTGATATCAGATCGCAGGTCTGTGAACTGACACCTTTAACTATTCTCATGAAAACTGTAGACCTTAACAAACTTGACAATGAATCAATATCTAAGGTGGATAACCTCATTAACTTTGTTACAACAGAAGTAACAAAACGACTCGATGCTAAACTAAATGCTATTGTCTACAACGTTCCGGACAATGAGGCACTAAAAAGGGTACAGCGCATCCTACTTAGTGAGGCAAAAATGCCCAACTCCAAGACTAAGTGCTACAGGCTGAAGAAGAGTCAACATGAAAAGTGTTGTCCTATTCGTTTTCAGTTCGAAACACCGGCTGAGGCCAGAAAATTCATCCTCTCCCAACACACCCTATCGCAAGTCAGAAATTACAAATTATTAAAGGTTGCAGTGGACAAGACAGTCATAGAAAGGCGCGTATACAATCATCTCACTGAGTCTAATTGTGGAATAAACAATAGGACATTGCAGGCAGCAATTATACCCAACCCTATGAGAGATACCGTAGAATCCACCGCACCACCCCTCTCAAACCACACAGAATTATCCTCTTAGAGAGAGACACCAACCGCAAGGCTACTAAACTGTAATCAAATAGCCAATAAAACTATACCGCCTATCACCGTAGATATAGACATGTCACCAAATAATCCTGGAAAAAAAGTCAAAATCCCCCGAAAGTCGGCCCTGTCCTCTCCTGTCCATAAGTCCATTGGTAAAAAAGGAGAATATGACCCCAAATCATGCCAACAACAAAAATGGCAGTATAAATAAGCCCACATCTCCCACGGTCAATAGTATTGGCACCCAAAACGTGCGAAATAGCACCATGGCCCACACTGATAACCAACGCCACAACAATGCCTCCCTCAATAGTACAAGTGGCAATAGTCAGAAATCGACCACCAACCACTCAGGGTATCCAGTATGGCACACAAATAAATTTTGATCGGATATATGGTACAAGTCTGCTGGGAACTAACCCACAAAGCAGTACACACGAAACCCATACAAGGACACAACTAGTACTTAACAATAGGTCGAATAATAAACCATGGTCTCCACAAGGTCCTAATCATTTTTTATCCCCTGCGTCCTTGTCAGCGTTGAAAAAACAGCTGGTAGGGATGTTAACACTCCTAAACCGTTAATGCTGGCTCCCCCTTTGCATGAATATAGGAACAGTCTAGTTCACCCGCATCCATTAAGCACACTTGATAAATGCACAAGTTTAGGTCAATTTTCTAGTCTTATTGGTGTGAGCAGCTATATGATATTAATGCCTTTTCATACGCATTGCCCTATACTGAACAGACATATTGGTGTAAATTAGATTCATCTGGCTATAAATTAAATAGTCAAAGATTAGGCCACCTAAATTGTCAATACTTACATAGATTAACACTAAGATATGAAAATCTCCCGAAACATCTGATCACACGTTGTTCACCAAGATAGACATTTATTCATGGAGAATTCCGCAAAATGAGGTCTGGGGCGAGGGTCGCATAACAATAAAATCCTACTATTAAATAATTTAGAGCAACACTCATAACACGTTGAAATTGAAAAAAATGATTAAGGTCATAAAGACAGACTGTAAACGGAATAATGGAAAAAGTAAACTTCACTTTCGGGTTACTTAACATATTGGATGTAATGAACTACAACGAACAAAAAAACTTAACTACTTAACTATTTGGCAATTAATTTGTATGAACTGCCTTTTTTCAGAAAGTGTTCAGGTACACTGTATGCGATGGTATTTACATCAAAACATAGTAAGCATATTAACTGACAAATTTACAAGCATAAATATTTCATTGTTTTCAGACTCATCAACTAAGAACTCTGACAAAATCCATGTATTAAAGTATAGACAGTATTGAATCTATCCAATCCAACTGATAGCTGTTACTTTGACGTCGTGGGCAGGCTTGCATACACAAGCGGGAAGTGATGTTTCAGCAGGTCTCATCGTGCGATGTAGGTCGTGTATATAGCGGTTGTATAAAACCAGTTACCATCATAGTGTAAGTCATCTATATCACACTGAAGGTCTGAATAAATCAACTTCCATGGTGTGGGCAGTCTGGAAGCAATAACCCTCTACACACTTCCATAAGCTTACACATAAAAAACCCAACTGTGGTCATTCACTTAACTCCTTCTGGCTAACAGAGAGGATTCATCCTGTGGATATCAGGAGACCTTCCAGCTAGTGTGCGTGATATTACACGTGTAGAGATAGCATAAAATTCTAGGGCGGGAAAATTGCTTCTTGACTGTATCTCAGTATATAGTCTTTTATGTGCTGTCCATCTAAAGAAGAACATATTCGTGACACTCATAGATGTCATAATATAATCTCGGCCTACAACCCAGCTGATTGCAATTTGGACAAAGCAAAAGATAAGTTCTATCAAAGCTCTTGGGCTTACTGATAAAAGCTAAGTGCTCAATTATAGTCGTTCTGACGGGGTCCTCAATGCCCAAGTGGTGAAATTGCGCCAGTCAGAGAAGTATATTAGTGGCATCTATAGAGTTTCATTCGGATGAACCGAAAACGGTAGTTGTCTTTAGATAATCATCCTTTCCTTATCAGTGCTAACATCAAACATAAAAACAGAAATCACCCAACCTGGTGGCCTACATCATCAAATCAGCGATGAACTCAAATAGGCCGAATAGGGATAAACTATCGAGGGAGAGCACCGATGGAAGACTGCCACTCCTTCTGGAACACTCGCATAGACTCCATTCCTGCTCCAATCTGTGCACGTATACGGAATTACAAAAGACAGCAAGAAAGCCGCCAATCACCCACGTTGATGAGAACACTAAGTTTCTTTTGAATGAAAGAAATAGGCGAAAACGCATCTGAGACTGACAGGAAGACTCATCCTGAAGAATCCTCGTGTGACATCGAGTCAAATTAGGAACATCGGTGAAGACTGTTGATAACCTAAAATCAAACGTTATTGAATGCCAATGTATTTTTGCTGCTTCACTCCATCTAACTGATGCAAGGAGACTGAATGTTGAAAGGCAAGATGAGCGGAAGTCTTCGCAGCTACGGCTAACAGTGGCGGATAACAATGGCGAAAGAGATGGAAAAAGCATCGGTGATAGGAAACACTAAACAACTATTTAGGCTTATTAGGGAAACAGGTTGCAAAAGGTGAATGATAATCAAGTCAATCTCTAAAGAAAAAGGCACCTTAGGTTGCTGTCATGATAGGAAGTTGAGGGCAACACTTTGAGGAGAAACCTAACTAGTCTATGGCCACACTGTTCTATATCCAACATCTGTCTCTGTGGAATGTTGACATCGGTCCTCCGTCTATAATTGAGGTTGCAAAAGCTGTCTCTAATCGAAAACAAAGCGAAGCAGTAGAACCAAATGGAATAACTTGAAAGGTGTTTATAGAAACTGGTGATGAAATGTGGTGTCCGGCTACCGATCAAAGGATGTGCGTACTGCGCAACAGTTCACTCTGTCCTTCTTTATGTTTAAAAAGATAATTTTTCTGTCACATAAATAGTAGTTATTTCGTTAATTTATTTGAACCCTACTGTATACTTGTTTGTCTTCTTTTGCCTTTCAGTAGTTTAAATAGTAGAATTTAAACTAAGTTCACTATCTTAACGGGTAGAATAATTTAGAGAATTAACCTTTAATTCGTTACTGAGCTGGCCTGGTGTGGATTTTTAACATAGAACTCGACACCGAAGTGCAGCAGTTCGAGTTGCCACGTTCCAAATAGCACACAAAGGTAGACAAGAAAATGAGTGAAGAGAATCAATAGAGTTCTGACAAGTATAAGACTGAAACAGAATGAGTAATGGTAGAAAGGAATATGAAAGATTACAGAGACTGAATACATCTGCGTAAGCCATTGACAACGATTTTGAGCCATGTCACCTAGTGTCTCCAGTCATTGATTCTTAGAGTCCCGAGGGCCCCAACCCGGAAGTCTATATCTCCCTACCTGACTCAGTTCGACTGTCACGGATTTCATGGATTGATGCCATGTTTTTGTTTGACCACCGCTTACTCTTTTCCAACGTGCACCTATATCAGCTAGTAATGCCCGTCGGGGGAGGCGATAGTTAGGCATGCGCAGCACGTGACCTAGCCATCTCAATCTATGTAACTTTATAGCCTCTTCGATTGATTTTCTCTCTTTGCCCAACACTCTATGTCTAACGTCAACATTACTTACCTTATTATACCACCTAACGTGGGAGAGAGATCGTAGACATCTATGATCAAAAACAGTCAACTTTTTCATGTCTTCAACTCGTATTGGCCATGTTTCAGAGCCATAGAGAAGGACGGAGCGAACTGCTGAGCAGTACACACGTCCCTTGGTTGATAGTCGGATGTCACGCCTAAGCCAGAGATGGTGTAAGTTAGCGAAAGCAGCCCGAGCAATTGGGATCCGTGCTCAGATTTCGTCACCAATCAATCCGTTGGTGCTGATACAACTTCCTAAATAGATGAAGTGGTCAACATGTTCTATCACTTCACTCCCTATCGCTAAGCTAGGAGTTGACGCGTGGTCCAGTCCTGTAGCAGCATCTTACATTTTACAGGGGCGAATCGCATGCCAAACATACGAAGATTGCTGCTCAAGGTGTTCAGAAGACTCTGCATTTTGTCAGCACAATTCCGCATTACATAATAAGGTTGCATTATTTTTTATATTCAGTCACACTTGTACCAATCCCAAATCCTTTCACCCTAAGTTAATCTTATCTACCTTTTTGAAATTGAACTTGAAACACTGCGATTAATTTGCAATAATCATAGTGTCACTAAAAGGTAAAACAGTATCATCAACAACGCAAAGATTTTATATTTCTGCAAATAATTCAACTAATTATAAATATATGAGCACATCAATAAGCTTTTAAAAACTGTACTCTACTCAAATTATCAACTCTGTAAAATGTAATTGTGTGTGTGTGTGTTGGAATAGTGATCATTGTAGAATAACCAAACTCCAACTGACATTTTTTATTTGTTATGCAAACGAAGAGTGGTAATAATGATAATAGTAGTAGTAATAGTAGTAATAATCATTATACACTCTATTGTACTATTTACAAGCATAAATCACACATATTCTAATGTCTGTAAATAAATAACAACCGCCTCTTCCTTTCTTCATTACGGTACAATCATGTTATTTATTCTCGCATCATTATAGGTCAATTCTAATCAATAGATTGTTAGTAGAGATCGATAAATGTTGGATAACATACTCTCGTTTTCTCAGAACAAACCGCATTTTTACTCTGTTATATTATACAGTATATGTATATATGTATACATATGTGCTCAAAGAAAACTTAAAGTGTATTATGACAAATTGTCAGCAATCACAGTCGGTTAGAATACTAAAGTTTAAAACAAATGAAAATATTTGTATAAAAGGATTTGCGTATATTGTACAGAAGGAAATGTGTACACATATAGAGAGAGTGTTTAGAATATTTTTGTACAGTGAAAGGTGACAATGTCGAACAACGCAATATTTCGACTACAAATAAGCAGAGATTTACAGTATTGAAGAGGTCAATTCAATAAAGAAATAGGCATCAATTTGTTTCACTTTACTGTTGATATGTGTAGGTGAATGCGTGTCAAACCAGTCCTAGTGATCAATGCATTCTGACTTACTAATACCATTATACAGGTACAATTAACTTGTTATCAGATTTCAGTAGACCACAAACTTTCAATCCATTGATAATTGCATTATTCCAAGATTTACGATTCTTATTGTACAAATTCAAGTATAATCCGGCGACAACTAACAGACCCGACCAGATATATCTAATGAATAAATGCATAAAGAAAATGGAAAGAAAACACGAAATTATATTTAATTAGTTCATTGAAATAATTTTCAAGTATACTGTCATATAAAAGTGTATTTAGTGAAGAACTGACATCAGTTAGAGAGACATTGAAAACCGTGGACCACTGGACAGCTGTTTCTTCCTAGTTTGTCACACTTTTGCAGATCACAACGACAACTGACTACACAAAGTCAAAGGCAAACTACTGACCCTACTTACAGCCTTTAATGTTCTACGTATTATAGCATAGTCTTTTTTGAGAAGCCCAGGGAAGTATAAGGGCGGGGGAACAATAAAGAATTTGAACAAAGCAAGAACTACAGTTTTAGCAGAATAAAGTGATAGTACCATCTTTTATTTCGTTTCCTTCTCGTCTGCTGCTTACAGGGCAAAGACATTATTAAATGTATCTACAGAAACAATTCTAACATACTTGCACAGAGTTCATTTTTAAACAAAAATCAATCAACCAATATACACATACACTGATAATATATACATATATATATGCAATATTAGGCACTATTCCGAACAATAATAATCATACACAATGAAAACTTTCCAGCATCTCCCATTCAGATTAAAAATATCCAGTTACCAGGGCAAAGAAAGACTGATAACCGCTTCTTTCTGAACGCACAAATCAGGTTACAGGCGCTTGATGGAAATGGCTTCAGCAAACTTGAGGAGAATTGAGCTCTTTTGCTTATTGATAATTTTGAACAACTTTTCGACGTCCACCTCATGACCCGTGTCGAGGAGATGCTTTGCGATGGCACTGTTTAAAGTATTTGTTCCCTTTAGACGTAAGCTTTTTGGTACATGTTCAGAAAATCGTAGATATGCCCTTCTTTCTGTTCTTCCAATGTAACTGCTGCCGCAGATACATGTAAATTTGTATATACAGTTGGCGTTAACATGAGAAGGATATCTATCGATTTTTGATTGCATCAAATAGCAAGTTGTTCGATAGACGGGAACGAGCTTAGCTGCAGGATAGGCTATGGCTAGTGATGTGCTCAGCCTTCTGTTGATCATCGCTGAAATGTTTTCACCTTCATAATCCAGCTGAAAGTAGACTGGCTTTTTTGTCACTGTGATTTGTTTTACATTTGTGACTTCAGATCTTCCATACCTGTTGATGAACCTTTGAGGGTACCCATTGCTCTTCAATGTCTTTTCGAAAAACTCAAATTCTTCCTCTAATTTCTCTATAGAGCATATTCTTCTCGGTCTATAGTACAGAGTTTTGACTAGACCACGTTTAAAGCTATTAAAATGTAATTATTGTCCTTTTCATGTAGACTTTCGATGGCACAGTGGTTAGGGCTCTCGCCGACCATGCACATGGTCCGGGGTTCGATCCCCAGCCGGCGCACACCCGATATCTATGGTCGGCCTGAAATTTGGGCTACCGATATCCATGCTGAAAATTCCATACTTGTACTGAAAATGTGGTGTGGAATCAAGCTGTAATCAAAAAATAAAATAAAAATAATAATAAATTGACTTTTGAAGACTACCGTCTTCTAAGCGTTCCATGGAGATGTCGAGGAAGTGAAACTTTCCGTCACTTTCATATTCCTTAGTGAACTCAATATTGGCGTGCGCATCATTGAATAATGAGCAGAATACACGGATTAATAAATTTTAGCAAACTACTATACGCTCTTAGTAAAGATAAATACGATTGTAGAGTTTTTGAAGATAACCTAGTTGATAAGGGGAATTTTCTTCGCTGAACTGCCTTTTATTTTTTATTCATGACTCTCTGAGTATTTTCGGTCTTGTAAATATTTCTACAAAACTGCAAGATAAAAATACCTACATCACAGTTACACTGTTTTTACTTCGTCATCACTATTATAAAACAAACAACCGAATTTTCAATGTACTAGAAACCCTTGTTTATTAACTCCGACATTTGTCTATAGGGTAAACGCCCAGATCCCACCCACTACTCGCTACGAATATTTACTTTTAAGCGTTTGCTGTGTGGAGAGTTCACTGATTTTTAAAGACAAATTCTGACACAAACCGATAGTAGTTAGAGAACCGATTTGAACCAGGGACCGATTGGTAGCTGTTTCCTTCTAGTTTGAAAACTATGTCAACAGGACGTATTTAGAAGAGTCTCTCTTTGATTGATTTTCCAACTGACACGTTGGCTAGTGGCCAAATCTGCCCAATGACAGTGTATTCGTCTTTTTTGATTGCACACTAGTCAGTAACTAGTGTAATGCATCTAGTCCTATCTTCGCTGCAGACTGAATTCTATCAGTCAAGCTTACCTCCAACCATCTAAAACCAACAATTCACAGTGCACCGTAATGGCGAGCCACCTAGCATGGTGGCCACATTGCAAACATGACTGATAGAATTCAGTCTGCACCGAAGATAGGACTAGACACATTACACTAGTTATTGACTAGTGTGCAATCAAAAATATCCAATACAGTCCTACAGGAGGTCAGTCACGAGCCTGAATAGCTCAGTGGTAACGTCTCTGACTGCAGCACCGTGTGACGCGGGTTCGAATCTCAGAAGGGACATCAGTTCCTTCAAGGTTTCAGATACGCCTTGCTGACGAGTGCCAACTAGCACGAAACCTAGGTTCAAGGCTTCCTGCCGATTGCCTCCAACCATCTAGTACCAACAATGTATTCGTCTACCGACTATTTTTGTATTATCATTTTATTTACATTAGATTGACAAAATAAATATGCGCTTCGATCAGATATTTTATTACAATACACAGTACCTATCCGTCGGCTATTCTATTGCTTATAAGCTTAAAAGTTTTTCCGATCATTAGACATAAAATATTGACTGATTTTGCTAAGACATAAGATTAATGAAAAAAAATGTCGATTGGTGTTGATTTATTGTTACTGTTTTTTTCTTTCAGTAAACTTCAAACCTACAGAACATATAACAATTTCAAGACGAATATATATATATATATACGACATTCTTATTAGTGGTGATGAAAATTACACATTAACATTGCTATGTCATTAATGAGACTACAGTCGCATTTGCTTTCGAGTTGTGTATAACTGACAATGAGTCGTTGTTAAGAATCGAAATAAATTGGATGGAGGACTGAAAACTGGAGAACATTAGACAACTATTACACTCTAGTTTGGAATGCTACAACAGTGGACATTCGAAAGCTTAACAAGAAAGATATCATAAGCTGGTAATATAAACGAAGAGATTATCATGCACACGTGAAGAAGTGGACCTTGTAAACGACTAAACTATACGGATTCCAGCCACTGGTGTTCACTGAATGCAGCCAACTGATGAGTAGGCGCGCTTATGTTGCTGTAAATTGTAGTCCACTTTTTTCACAGTGTTAGGTGTTTTCAGTTCATCTGAGCACCTGGATTTTGACTTTTCGGCACACATCAGGAAGCCATATCTACAAATACTAAGAAACCGATGCTTCCTTCGCAATAAAAGCATGTGAAGCTAGTACTTAGCTATTCAGGCAACAATTGACTTCACGGTCAAACAATGCAACCATATATATATGTATATATATATATATATTAGCTATTATCGTCAATTTTATTTAAATTAAAAATAAGTTTGTTCGTTTTGTTTTTTTTCTGTTCCTAATTTATTTGATTACTTACCAATGAAGATAAACAGTATGTGTTTACTGAAATCTAACCTCATACTGATTCACTATTGTATGTTTCATTTGCTTAAACATGCACACACACACACACACAGATACCTATCTTATATTTCATTGAAGAGAATTAGTGCATCAGTAAGTAATAATGAGGTGTACAGCAGTTTAATTGGTTGAATTTGATCAATACGGATTGAAAAGAAAAAAGCATCATTTCAGTGGAAAAATTTGTGTACAGAAAATACTTAAGTCTTTTGAATCCACTTCATCAACAAAACTTTTAACAATCAAGAATTGAAATGAAAAATTTTATTGGATATTAGTTGTACGTGTGTTGACGCACTTGACAATGAAACATACATTCACTGTGTGTGTATATGTGTAGACTATTGGTATTACTGGCTGACCGCCTAAGTCACAACAGATGATGTGAGTTCGAACCCATGGCACGAGCAACAGCCACAAGGGAGAACATACAAGTTAGAAAAACTGAATAGTTTACTTAGTTTTGGTTTTACTCCTTTTTCCTGTGAATGCTTGGAGAATTATGCATTGCTTTCAAGAATAAAGTGTACAATCTAAGGAGATGTTATTGAAACTAGTACAACTCTTTTCACAAAAAAAAATACTCAAATTGGCGTAACAAAGAACTTTTAAAGCTTTTATTATTATTATTATTATTATTATTATTATTAATGAAACACAAACTTGGTGCAGTGTGGGCACCATGAGATTAGCCACAGAAAATAGTTAGACAACAATATGAAGAGAATGGGGATAGAGAAAAACGAGGGACTACATCAAGAAAGCACGTATGCATACTTACCAAGAGCACTCAAAGGAAGGTTCATTACTTAGTGTTACTTTCAGGAAGAGAAAGCTCTAGCATATGCACCATAGATTGCGACTCTCGGTCATATCCGATAACAACCCGAGCCACCGCTTCTTGAACCTGACCCACAAAAGCGTGATGCACCAAAAGATGCCACCTTAACAAAACTACCCTGTTTCTGATAGGGCCAAGTCATGGCCTAAATACCTTCCGCCTTTCTACCCAGTACCAGGGCTAGCAAATAGTAACCGGTGTGAGAGTTTTTGGTATAACATTTATAATTGGTGTCCAAGTCACTGAATTCGGCGTTTGAAGATGACAATAATACCTTTGAATGACGATCTCTACCATGTCTGAATACACGTCACCAGAATTACTTACATGATCATTCCGTTGGACGTAACTAGATCTACGGAGTTAAGGATGAAAAAAATATGCGCAGTCACCGCGCCTTCTTCATTTGCAAAAGACCAAGTTTCACTGAATAAGGTCAAGACTGAGCGTACTGAATTACCGTAAACCCAACTTCAGGTGCCCAGCATAGGATGGGTATATGCTATTCTAGCTTTCATTACGCAGTTAGAGATCTCATCTGTCACATCGTCCATTAGCACCCACGAAACTAGCTAGATACATGAACTAATCGACTACTTCTAACGGCCCACTCATGAGGAGAGGACCAAATGCAGATTTCTGCCAATCATGCGACAGTAGTTTGCAATAAGACGAAGCAAACAACATAGTATAATTGCAAATACTGACGGCCAACTGTTTACGCGCATTTCTGGTACCCTGTATGCTACGCTACAGTGAGATGATATCGAGGTCGAAAAGTCCTTCTCCAAGTGACTGATCTACATCACCACGACGCATTTCCTTCATAGATGTCTCTAAAATGTAATGGGTACCAGGGTCAAAAAGAAATGGTGAGATTGAGCAACCTTTTCTAATCCCGCTTTTAGTTGAGAATAGAGGTGACAGTGAATTGTATGCCCTCACTGTGTCTGGGGTGTTCCTGTATAAGACTTCCAGGATGTTGGCAAACTTCCCTGGAAGCCAACATTCTGAAGGTAGCTAACTAGCAACTCGAAGCGGTACGGATAGACTGAGATTTCAAATAATAGCCAAAGGCGGAAGAAAGTACAGATACGAGAAATAATAATGATGGTAAAAATAAAACAAAACGGTTTATATATATAAAAATAAAATCAAAAAAGGAAGAGGTTGCTAGAAATATGATTCGAGTAGTAGTCTGTGATAATAAGCCCGCGAGTATAGTTCCCCATTAACTGTTGTTTTATGATTTCTGTGAGATTTGAGATAATAACCCGAGGCCCAAACCGAAGTAGGTGGTTGTCTTAAGGGACAACTTCCAGTACAGCTTCAGGATCACCATTTCCATGGTTTTTGGTGGCCAAAATAGGTTCATACTCCATTCGATCATCTAGGATTCTAGGGTCCATGTTTCGAATCATGGTCTTCTTGGCTCCCTGGATGGACCTCCATGTCAACTAGTTCAGTTATAAGCGCTTGTATAATTTTCATGAAAATTTGTCCAACCAAATATTTAAATTTTTTATCAAGTGAAAAGGTGTTCTATAACTGTATTACTGCTCTTCTTAACTGTATGCAAGTTAAAATATTAACGCAGATGAAAAAATACGAATGTGACGAAACCATGTTATGATAATTTTATAAGAAGCGGTTTTCAGATGAAGTAATCAATAATTTTTTAAATTATAGTCCTCGAAATGTGTGCAGTCTTTGAATCTACGAGCTCATAAGTATCAACAACAATTATCTGCAACATTCTGCCAGAGAAACTCGTCCATGGAGGTCAAGGCAGTTGATAATATGATAATAATGAAGGAAAATGTGTGCTAATTTGTTGAATTCCATAAAAATATAATTTCTTATATTTCAAGTGTTTTTTATAACCTGTCTCTTATTTAAGAACAAAAAACATCATCACAACAAATATTCTGTGACAGATTAATATGAATTACATATAGAAAAGGGGGTTCTTCACTTTCTGAGGTATCTACTTTTGGAAGAAATATGAACAATCTTCACTAGATTAGCTACTTTTGTTTGGCAGCATCAAAGCAGATAGAGAGATAAAGACATTATCATACTAGCATTTCGCACAGAAGTACACCAGTTCAAGTTGATATATTTCAAGAATATAGAAAATGCCGGAAAAGTAGAGAAATTGATGACAAACAGGAGCGTGGATGCAATAACAGTCTTCCAATGATTGGTGAAAAGATATAAACTTCTGATGATCAGGCAGTGAATACAAAAACACTGGTTAAAAAAAGGATGAGATACATTGTGATAAACATCATCAACACGATGATGATATTATTATTATTGTCATTCCCGAAAGCGATAGCTTACTACGCTAAAATATAGGTTAAGCTTTTATTTGTCATGACACATAAACCGACAGATCGCTGAAAATATTTACACTAGTGTACTCCAGAGTACAATGGATTGATAGCGTATTTAAATGAGTCGCCATTATGTTTAATCTAATATCGAAAGTGAGTTAACAGGTACACTTCTTAAAAAGACCGTGTGATCCAACTCACGTAAATTTACAGTCAAGTAAGAAGGATCTGTAGCTTATTGGTCTAGGCGCCCGACTTTCAACCAGTTTGTCACAGTTTCCAATCCCGCTCCACCTACGAAGGTTTGGTCAACTAGATAGTACCACTACTAGCCCTCAAACAATAAGTGTGGCTCACTGCCAGCTGTGGCGAATCACAAGTAGTTGTTGAGTAACATCTCCAGTTCTACCTTTTTTCATCAGGTAAGAAGGCAGCTAGCTTGAATTCCATTCCAAGAACCATATGAATAATTAACATTCCGTGGTGTAAATAACTGACAAGCATCAACAAGTGATATAAATGCAGTAACACTGTTTAATAGCTAAACACTTCATACCCATTTCTTCAGTACTTAATAAACTATTTTTAGATTATAATTATATTCTAAAAATCATCAGTTTCATCGATTGAAACTTCAATGGAAAAGAATTCATAACCGTCAAGTAAATGAACAATCTAAATATGGAAAATACCATCCAATTAAAGAAATAGTTAATTTAAAATAGACTAAACAAAAATGAAATCTTAAACTGCACATACCCTTGAGAAAATGGTTTTGCAAACATTAGAAACGACAAGGTGATTGAAGCCGCTTTCCTGAAAGTTGTAACTTTGAAAAAAAAAATAAAAACAACAAGAAGACGAAATAAGACTGTAGTAAACTAAAAATAGGTATGTTTTATTATTATTATTATTGTTCCTTTGGGTTCCTAGTGGAACATAGGGCTTCAACTGCACGTCTCCACTTGCTTCTGTCTTCTGTTATACTTTTCACCTGCGTCCATGTTATTCCATACTGTTTCAACTCCTCTTCACACAACCTCCTCCATGTCACCCTTGGACGTCCCACTCGCCGTTTCCCTTTCGGGTTCCACTTGAGGGCCTGACGCGTGACGTCACCCAGCGGCCTCCTCAGCGAGTGTCCAATTCATCTCCACTTTCTCCTGCATATTTGTTGAGCGATTGGTTCTTGTTTCGTTTGTTCCCATAGTTCCTTGTTTGTGGTTCTTTCTGGCCATCTGATCTTCAGTATAGAACGAGGACAGCTATTGATAAAGGTCTGCAATCTGTTGGAAATATTCTTTGTGACCCGCCAAGTTTCTCATCCGTATAGAAGAACTGACTTGACGTTTGTATTGAAAATGCGAATTTTGTTGTTGATGCTGAGTGACGAAGATTTCCAGATTGGTTTCAGGTTGATGAATGTGTTTCTCGCCTTCCCGATTCTCGATTTGACATCCTCGTCCGTTCCTCCTGTAGTTGAGACAATGTTCCCTAGATAAGTGAATTCTTATCTCATTTGTAAATGTATATGGGAATGGAAAACAGATTAAGGCTGTGACAACACTCTGATTTGAGGGCGCTGTGAAAAACGTTCAACTGCTACTCCTTACTGTCAAACAAATCTAGAAATTGGAATCAGTTCAACTTATGCCAACACTTCAAAAAGTACAAATAAAAGAAGGGAGCAGTCATGTCATGAAAGTACAATGGACAAAGATTGTTGTAAAAATTAGTAAAGTTTTCTTCATAATCTGTGTCTATTGTGAATGATTTTAAGTCATATCCCCGAGTTGTCAACAATGGATATTTAGCATTCCAAGGATTTCAACGAATCAGTTTACACCTGCTTGCTTACTTGACTCAGCTAGTTGATAATAATAGGTGCAAACTACTTAGAAGTTATAAACTGAGACAACATATATGCTTATCGTTTACTGATCTCTAGTAGTGGTAATTTAGTTAGTGTCAATCCTTGATGAGAAAGTGCTCGAAAATCATAGAGCTAAGGTGGCTTGATTGGATGAATAGACTTTGGATGATTTGAAAAAGCTACTTCACGGAACTATCTGATCAGAAGGCGATTGTAACGAAGATTGATAAATTAATTTACTTTACAGAACATCCGTAAACATATAATACACACTACAGTATCCCAGATCCAAAAACTGTTGGACTATTTAACTTCTTAATTCACTTATTTTGGGTGCTTGTTTAAATTATATTTCTTCTTCTCTTTATTAAATCTGTAACAACAGAAGGCAAGACACGGAAGCCAAAGTATATTTCTCCTTAATCAAACCGCTGTTTATATGACTACAGTTTATATTCGTCAACCGATCACTGAGCGTGTGATTTCGGTTTACATTAAACGACAAGAAACAGAATGATAAAAAAAAAACATAGTATTCTGCAATTAATAGTGTTCTCTGAGCTGGTTGGTTTAGTTGCGTCGTCCTTCTGGACAACATCTTCAGCGCAATATTTAGCATAAAGTGAAATGATTTAAATTTCTTCATGAGTGATATAATTGCGTCTCCCGGTAACCATCTTTATATATGTATTGACCCACTTTGGCCGATGTAATGCTTGTTACAGTTCATACAATTTATTTTGTAAATGGTATTAATTTTATCTCCTTTTTCTGTTGGATCTTTCGGTTTGCATATCGAATTAAGCGATTTGACTGGCTTGTGTGCTATATCTATATCAAACGGTTTCAGTATTCTAGCTGTTATTTCAGAGATATTTCTCAGAGAGAGAATTCCTAGAAGCATGGTACTCAAGTGAGTCAACGATTTACAAACATATTAATATAGACCAAATTTACCAACTAATAAAAAATAAGTCATGTGACAAGAAAGTTCAAATTCCAAGTCAATAAAAAATAATCAATACAGATGTAAATCGATTACCAGTCAAGAAGATGGTAGCCAGGAGACATTCATTCATGGAGAATTCATTTTATGCTAAAACTTGAGCTGAAGATTTTGTCCAGAAGGACGAGGAAAGCTTCGCAATTAAACCAACCAGCTCAAAGAACACAACTAATTCCAAATCATCCACCTGAGCTACAAATCTCTAATATTTCGTAACTAGTGTGCAATACTTTCAAGATTTCGATATTTAGCTCAATACCATCAATCCCCAAATTTACACTTGTGGCTTACTACCTTAAACACTAGTAAATATGTCATTGTTGTGTAATATATACATACAGAGTTAAACAGAATTAATCATGAATTATGTCGATCAAAAGCTTTAGAGGAAACCATAACTCATTACATACGTATACTTAGTTTGGTAAAAACCATTGTTTTATTCCAAATTTATGCATACATTGAAAAATGTATGAAATGTGACCAATTTGACTGACTGGTCCTCTCAAATCTCTAAATTCTGCACAAATATTTGTAACATTTAAATCGAAATATGAGCGATTCACACTGACTAACTGTAGTTAGTTTCGCATAATCTTGTTCGAAATACTTTGTCTGAATAAGTTTGCCGAACAAAATATTGAAATGATTTCTTTTAATTTCGCTGAGATTTATACAAATATAACTTGAACACATGTTTACTTTTTACTCGGTTCCCAGTGATTGTAGTACTAATTTTATAATATATATCATTATTCCCTTGAGTTTCTAGTAGAATATAGGGCTTCAACAGCACATCTCCACTTTCTTCTATCTTCTGCCATCCTTTTCAGCTTGGACCACGATTGCTTACAATCTCTCATCTCCTCCTCACACGACCTACTCGTCGCTTCCCACTGGGATTCCACTCGAGCACTGGCCTAGCGCGTGGTGTTATTCGACGACCTGCTCAATGTATGCCCGATCCATCTCCATTTTCTCCTACATACTTGTTGAGCGATCGGCTCTTGGATAGTTGGTTCCCATAGTTTCTTGTTATTTATTCTTTCTGCATTTCTTGATAAAAGCCTGCAACTTGTTGAAAATCCTTTTCGTGACACTGTGGTCAAGTTTCTGACCCGAATGGGAGCACTAACTGACTGACTTGACATTGTTCCTTATGCTGAGTGCAGGAGACTTCGAAACTGGTTTCAGGTTGATGAATGCGTATCTTGCCTTTCCGATTCTGACTTTGACATCATCCGTTCCCACTGCCTGTAGTTGAAACGATGCTTCCTGTCTGGATAAGTGAAGGAAGTAACCTCTGTTAAATCACTCCTGTTGATGATGATTGGTGCTGGTTGTTTTTGTTGGTGTTGTTTTTTTTTGTAGTACTAGTCGTTCAAATCTTGATTAGCGTTCATATAAATTGCTTAATATAAGATTATCAGTTTTCTAGAAAAAAAACGATCAAGCGAAGAGTAACTTTAAACTCCTGGAATTTTTGAGACGAATATTTCCCCACACTGACTAGAAATAAGTATCAATGCGACCTACACAAATAGAAATTCTCATTCATCCTACATTGGAATCCAGCATCCAGTTTTACTACACACTTTAGTAAAATCAGTGGCATTTTCATTCCATAAGCGACGAATTTAACTCCTAGTAGTATTTTAGCTTATCACAGGTAGTAGTATACCGGATAAAAGTGTGCAGTTTAGTTTAGTTTACTGTTAAAAAATGTTGGTTTAGCAGGAAGGAATCTTACTAACTAAAGTAAACAAACAAATTCAGACAGCTGAATTCAGAATTTTCGGCTAAAAAGTCAGCTAGCAATAGCTATCACTACCAAGATGTATTCAATATACAATGATATTCGATTGTCACAGTGACAACTTCAGCATACTGCGCTGTTTGTTTGTGCAAATCCTGAGAAAGATGAATACATTATATTATTATAAAAAGAAACCAGTAATAATAGTAATGATGATAATACTGTATATATATATCATACCTGTAACAGCAGTTAAAGCTCCATGAGAATGAACTAAGCATAAGACGAATTGTACACCGAAATAACCAGATAATGAAAATATGAAGCCATATCCATAAGTTTCTACAGCATGCTGTAAGTAGTAATGAACAGCAGTCAATAATTATTAGACAATATAACAAAATGACAATAATAAAAAAAGAGAACTAGAGGAATTCAAATAAATTTCGGGTTGAATAACACACGGACAAGCAAATATTGTTTCATTCAGTCAACATTGGTTAATAATACCATGGCTAATGACTACTAACAAACACATAGATGCATAGATGCAAAAGTAATAATATAATAATGAATACAATGAAAATAGAACAAACAAAATGTCTTTTGTGCAAAAGGTAAAGATAATGCACGATTGACACTGTCTAACTAACTAACAATTTTATTTAATAAAACAATATAATACAGACATTTTAAAGATCATCTTAATGCGATTCAGGTGAATAAATACCTGTATCAAGTATAAATAAAACTAGTAAATAATCGATCCTAATAAGCCTTACTTTATACATCTATTAAACTGTATATCAATGATTGAATTTATAAGATGAGAGTAGTAATGGCACAACTACTCAGCAACTGACATGCACGTGTTTCTGAAACAGTAAATGATTTGCATCCCTTGTTCAGAAGTTAGTAATACTGATAATTATCTGTCTGAATTTTGCTATTCAAACTTGGGCTCGAACTCCTGACTTGTTGGATAAATAGAAAGCAAATCTATAAAGCAGTATGAACTAAAATTAAAATGAATACATATTTTATACTTGGTTCACACTACTGATAAGCAACAAAGGGCTCTGACAGGCGGTGCACCAGCCGAAAACCTATTACCCAACAAATATATAGAAGTAAATCAAGATGGGTTAGATATACGCTGAGACCACTGAGTAACATCATACACCAAACATGCCGCTAAGTGAGACCCAGATGGCAGGCAAATCGGTCATCTGAGGGTGAGATGGAGTTCATCTGAGAAAGAAATGACGGCTTGTGAGCAGCTATCGATTCAGATGAAAATTAAGGTAGAGAAAAGAGTTAAATGGAGAAGTGGTGCCGAAGCCCCCCTATGTCCCATCTAAGAAGGTTAGGAATGAGTAATAGTAATTATAATGAATCCTATAATAAATCCTAGTTTTGAGGAGTTCCCAGTGCATTCAGTTATCAATCGTTGTTAGGGATCAAACTTGGTGAAAACCCGTCTTTTTTTAACATCATAAAAAGTTTATGGTGAATTTTTGATATATGAAATTTCTACCTGAAAGGAAGATAAACTTCACAAATCATTTCAACACTTTTGTTAAATGAATCTAGTACCTCACAAGAGAAAAACATTTAAGGTCAACTAAATTATAAAATTGAAGTTCCCTGGAGAAATAGTAAGTTTAACATGATGATGCTGTTTGCGGACTTCGACAAACAAATTATTATTACCGCGTAATATAAGAACATTTTTTAAAAATATGTATATATATCTTGATGAAAGTCCACAGAATGTTGGAAATACTTTCGTTGACATGTCAAGTCTCTGAGCCAAATATAAGCGCTGAGTTGACATTAGTATTAAAAATTGGGATCTTATTCTCTGTGCTAAGTGCTGCAGAACTTTCGGCTGATTACAGTGTAATAAGTAGACTAATATTGTAGATAAACTTCGGCCAACGATCCAAATTTCTCCAATTTGTCTATTGAGATCCAATGACCATTTTTCGTGTGACACCTTTCTTCGAAGATACATCTATCTAACGTTTTTTTTTCATAAGCTTTTACCTTTAAGACTTCAAAGTGTCAAGCATAATCTTTCAGACACTAATAGTGAAAAGCGATTAATGTATACTAGCATATTTTTACTGGTACGACGCTTTCAAAGACTGACTAACCCTATAAGCCAGGAATTATAGTAATTAAGTCGTTTATCGCATTTTTGATGAGCATAAAGTATAAATATATCCAGTAAAAGCATTGTTTGAATTAGGCATGTAAAACACTGTACAACAATGTGTAGCTTTACACCTAATTATCGCAAAATGATTGGAGCATTCAGTAATTAATGCACATTTACTATAAGTGGCAAACTGTTGAACGATGTAATCATTTTCATCTCTTAAGCATATATTTGATTAATCTACTGTAAAAGATGTTAACTTAAATTCCTGATGTGTGTATACGGCTTTCGAATTATTATACTGTACAAATTTTGTTAAAAAAAAATATGTTATACTTGATATCTATTTTTCACACTAAAAAAATTCACCATTATGTATGCTGTCAGGTCTGTGATATATATCTGATGTCACTCTTCCAAAACAATGAATTTCGGGAAAATGAACAGCGTGTTATTTGTAAATTAGACGCCTAAACTGAGGTGTTTATGTGAAAGGTTGTAAATTGGTTTATCTCTCTATTTAACAGGTGGGAAACATGTATTTCACAAATCTTACTATAGCTGAAAACAAAACTAGTGTGAACCGCCAGTGAGAACATAAATTACTTGCACAATATAACTGGGTACCGCTTGAAAGAAACTGGATAAATTGTTCAGTTACTGAAAGACAAACTCAGGTCAAACTCGTTGATCTAACTGTAAGCGCTCATGAAATTCTGTCAATCAAGTGTGCGCCCCAATCATAAAACAAAACATAAATCTCACTATTTTTTATCAAACCAAAATCTTTAATTAAACTTTTACATACTTCATTGAAAAAATGAAATGCTGGTATGAAATTTCCAGTTACCGCGAGACCACAACAAAGTACACAAAATCCCACAGAGTATGAATAAAACATCTAAAATAGGAAAGAAAGTAAACAATAAGAGAATGCAGAAAAGTCAGTTTAGAAAATACAATTTAATGACAGTACTAAAAAACAAATATCATACGCTAATCTAGTAGTTAATTCACCTGTCATACAATACGTATGATACACTGAAATCTTGTCTCACATATTAAATTTAAGTACTCTCAAGGTAAATCCTTACTTACTTTACTTTACTTCGGCTATCTCCGACGGGAGGATGAGCCGGCTTCATGAACATAAGAGTTCATGAAGTTTCATGGGAATTTGGTACGAGTGATGTCCCCAGAATCGCTCGGCCTTTTGTTTGAGAGTGCAGCTCTAGCCTTTACACAACCAAGTGTGACCTACAAGGCAGTAGGAGTGGAGTAGGGAGTCCACTATCCATTGGCAGCCGGTGACCGGAGTTCGGTTCATACGCCTTTTTGAATGGGGCCAGACATCCAGGACGTTCAACAAGCCCTTTGTCCATACGTCTGCCGGTGAGCTCCAGTGAGCTTCATACGCCAGTCGTTGGAGGTTTGGAATCAGGGTTTAGCTATCTCCCCTAGACTGTCATCCAATGGACAGTCAACCCGGTATCCGCTTTCGCCCTCTCACTTTGGTGAAAAACACTTTCACCACGTGAAGGCAGTGAGTAGGACTTCCTCAGGAGAGGCTACGTAAGACGCCCGGTCATATGGGAGCATTTCCAGAGGTGTGCGGAGGGGTGGACAACCCGCAGCGCAAGGCACCCCCTCCCGACCATCCTGAGGTAAATCCTAAGGAGAAACTAAATATGCTGTTCGCCTAGGATTGAAAGGAAGTCAGGATTTAGTAGCCATTCCAAAAGTACAATAACCTTTCATACAGTTCATACCTGTAATTATGAATTCATGGATTATTATTACAATTTTGTGTGAATACAAAATGCATCAGTTATTACTTGTTGCTTAAGTAGTGAACAACTCAAGCATTTTCTTTCGATACAATGAAACGCTGAGAGTACTGCTTCACCCAATGTAATACATTATAACCCAGCTAACTATATCGTATAATTCATCTAATTAAGCCATAACAATAACAACTATGCCTACGTATAAAGTGATTTTTTTAAATCAACTGCTGACAACACTGTATGGTGAAATAGAAAAATCATTTACATAAAAATATTGTAACACTAAGTTAACTGTTGATTACCAAAGGTCACTGACTAACTAATACATTGAAATTTGTCATTAATTTCATAGGTATAATATGCAACTTAACAATTTTTAGTAATTTTGTTCAAGGGAAAGCATGAATGTGAATCCAAACAAATAAACTCTGAAGACATAATTCAGTTATCTGATACAAACATTTGAATATATACGTTTATGTTATGGGGAGGGAAAGCTGACCAGAAGTCTCGACAACGCCCAGACATGGAGAAAGCATCGGCGGTAGCTAACACCAGACAACGATTTAGGCTCGTTAGGGGAACGGGACGAAAAAAGGAGACGATGATCGAAACATACTCGAAAAGAACAGCACTTTAACTGCCTCCTAGGACAGACTACATAAATGTTGGAGGGAAAACTCTCAGGAGTAATTCAACTGGCCTACAGCCAAGCTAAATTTGCCCAGTGTCCAACACTTACTTGAGTGGGAAGTAGGTATCATTCCTTCGAATGAGGAAGCTGTCTGCAATCTAAAATGAGGCAAAGTAACGAGACATGATGGTAAGGTTCCAGAGGTGTTTAAGTATGTTGTTGATGACTGCCGACTGAGTTAACTTAGAATGTCACGTAAAGTGTAAAAAGTAGAGATATTGTGCTGGACTGGCGTAAATCACTGAATATCCAAGTTTATGAGAAGTGAGATGGGTCTTATAGCGCCATCAGTTTGACTAACATAATAACTCAAATTATAGGTTCAATAGCATTGCGTAGACTGGGAGTTGTTCGGCGGAAACAAACCCGGAAAAACCAAATAGGATCTAGTTTTGGATGACAGACTCAAGAATTTAAGCATACCTAACGACGTCCAATACTTGACATATTTCATGACATGAAGGTAGCATTCCACTCTGTCGACCAAGAGGTGCTGTAGTAATGTTCAGCAGTGAGCGGGCTACTAACAAAATATGTCTCACTGATCAACACCTGCTTGAAGTAATACAGCCGTGTAAGAGCATGTAGAGAGTTGTCATTTGAAGTGATGACAATTGGCGATATGCGTCAGGAATGCTAAGTGCCTCCATTTTTTAGCTTCACCATAGATATGCTAATGGGTGTGACCCGAATCGACTTTAGCGAGCTGATGATTGTTCATTTATATTATATTTATATATATATTTGAACATTTAAAATTATAAAATAAATAACTCCATAAGAAGTATAAACGAAGTAATACATTTCAACTTACAATTTCTGTATTCGATCTGCAATACTTTTTCATAACAACCTCTTGAAAATTACCCAATCCTCCATCACAGCATAATGCTAATGAGACTAGAAAAACTCCTATGAAAGATAAATGAATGAGATAATGTAGGAAAATATATACATAAAACCTTATCTATAACACGCAAAACAATACATATTCTTTTTTATCGTAGGATATATGAAACAGTGTACTTTTTCTTTCTCTTTAAATTGCCATGTAGCATACAAACAAACACGAATACTCCAATGATTCACCAACCGGATTAATACTTTACTTCAGGTAGAGAAAAAAGTTATAAGTAAACAGACAGTCTAGCTGCCTTTCTCTTTGTAAACTAATAATAAAATGTATTCTACATATTATTTACTCAATATAGAATACATAACTAATATTAACTATTACATTATGACTAACTTGTGCATACTAAAACTTTTAAACGCATATCCGATCTATTGATTTTACATTATACGGTCACAGTTTATTTCAACTAAACTACAACAACAAATACTTTAAGTTAAACGGTCAACATACCTTATCTTAGATATTTCCAGATAAGTCAATTCTATCTGTAGGTAGAATCATGACACCCTACAGTTTACACTTTATTTTTGCAGCGAATAACACAGTAATATCAGCTTTCTTTCAGTCATCTGAATTAGATGTTATATAAATCAATTTTAATGTCATTCATAATAATATTCTTGATTAGATCAGTTTTAAAGCTATAAAGCCATAAATACTAATTATCTGTTGCCGCATGTGTCATCAGACATGCTACTGAAATCCATTAGTGAGTCAGCTGGTGAGTCTATCTGTCTGTCTGTTTACAACATAGAGCTTTGCACCGATGTGCAGCAGTTCAAGTCAACACACTCCATACAGCACACAAAGCAGGAGAAGAAAGTATAAGAAATGCATAATATAGACAGCAGACAGGTATATGAGACACAGGGAATAGTAATAGCGAAAAACAATATAGTCTCATTGGGTATTATAAGTCACAAAGAGTGGATGCATCTGAGCCATTGAGAGCGATTTTGAGCCATATCACCAATTGTCTCCAGTCATGGGATTTACCGTCCCGAGGACCCCAACCAGGAAGTCTACACCTTCCTACTTGGCTTAAACTAACTGTTGTGGATTTCATTGACTGGTGCCATGTTTTGGTTTGACTGCCGCTAGCTCTTTTCCAGCCTAACCCTCCGTCAGCTAACATTGCCCGTCGAGGAAGGCGATGACTCAGCAGCTGAGTATCATGATCCTAAAGTTTAATTATCACTAAGTGGTTCATATTCAATTCTGTGAAGAAATATGAATTCTAGCAAGGTTAATTATGACAATGGCTATATTCCAAACAGTAAGTTTGAGATACACCTGCCTGATGTTCGAAAAATTTGTAGATTTAGGTTTTATTGTTAGGTGATTTCAAGTGTAACAGCATTGAAACATATTTGTATTGCCATAAAACTAAGATAATAGCTGGTGTCCAAACAAAATTTGTCTACTTTTTAACCTAGTGCAATGCTATGTAGCAACAATGTATGCTAGATTGCTTCAATTTAATACGCTTCATAGACTAAATTCCAGATATACGAGGAAACATATCATGAATGCGTTAACTGTCAATAATATGAGTATGACATTACCTACCATTTTACTCTTGTGATCAATCACAATTGGATTCCTGATAATATTAAAACAGCTTTGTATCTGTTACTACCTGATTTAGATAGCTAATTAACGAATATATTTTAGACATGGTTATTGGTGGTAATTGTTTGTTCTCCAAGCTTTGTTACTTGGGCATAAACGTCTCCTCACCACAGTAACAATCTGAATATGACTTATCACAAACGATCGAGGCCCAAATTAGTTACAATATGCTTGCAACAGACTTTGACTCCCAGTAACGATTTTCTTGATTCATCATACATTTCTGATCTTACTAATACAATGAATGTAATTATGACCTAAACAAATTTATCAGAAAGAGTTTTCCCTCAGCTACACAAACTGATGATCAAATAAAGTATAATTATATTTCAATAGTTTACACACAATGATAAGATTTGTTACTGGTAATATTACGAGCAAAATTACTGCCCGTGTTCACACCACTGTTGGAATTGTTTTGTTCGAGATATTACCAATAACAAAACTTATCATTGTGTGTAAACTATTGAAATATAATTATACTTTATTTGATCTAATCCACAATGCTCAAACTTTTTACTGATACAAACTGATAATGTTTATGTCATTTGGATAAATTAAAAATGGTGGTCTAAAAACTAAGAATACTGTGAGTGCAGTAAATACTTACCGAACAAAGTAAACTTCGGCTGTATAGATACATCAACCAGTGTAAAACATATTAAACCCAAAGTCATCATAAGAACTGCTATAATTTCGAAGGCTGAGTACGTTTTGCCTAGCAAGTAACCAAATAAATTGCGTAATCTAGTATACCTTGTATAAAAACCCCACCCAACAAAACAGGTATCATTTTGCAACATTTAAATATAACTTGAGTTGGGTAATTTAGATATCCAACTGAAGCATTGGAAAACGCGATCGAACCCAATGTCAGTAGAGCTATAACAGCATAAAGATTAGTCCATGAACTAAATAAATATATCAAGTATAAGTATTAGCAGAAAGCAAACCACCTGAATATTACATAACCTTGCATACGTAACTCAAAGAATGATAAAACTGCGTAGATTCCAAATTGATAAAGCGTAAGGAATGGACTGTACGATCGTAGATCATTGGCAGTAAAAATTGCTTCCTGCAGGAATAAAATAAACTTGAATATATATTGTACCTCAAATCAGTAATGAGATTTGAATAATTGGTAAATATCACGGACATTACTTCAATGTAGATCACTTAGAAGTGACTATCCTGTGTATAATAATTACAATTTTCGAATGCCAATATGCGCTTGGACACTTTAGACATTATCGAAAATTAGGACCACTTCCCTAGTTGTGAATGTGCACCGACAAAAGGTCCCAATTGCTGGAGACTACATAGTGCTTCTTGCGTCTCAGTGATTTTTTTCGGTCGTTACACATATTATCGTCAGACAACGTGTACAGTACATGGTCAAGTAATGTGCTGTGCAGTAAGTCACTAGTATGATATCATCAAGTTACACGAAATTTAGTGGTTGGAAGAAACAGGAAATATCAGTCAACGAGTGATGCACTAATCAATAAAAACATCACAGGGTTTTAATCAATCCTTAAAACATCTAGGGGATGAAATTCAGACGTGTCACAAATGTTTAAAAAAAGACATAGTTAATAGCGTAGCGTATAAACGTGGGCACCTCTGTTACTCTCTATTAACATCTATCACTAATGTATACAACAAATTAAACAACTACAGGGAAATAATAAACCAGCTATATCTAATAGAATTACTGCAATCTTCTGTCAAGTTTCATTAAAACTTCTGTGACTATCCTTCAGTGGTAAACCAAATGCATTTCAGTGTTAGCTCATATATGTGCTGAAGTGCTACACCTGAAGACCACATTGGTTTAGTTGAAACAGACTAGTATTTATAAAAGATTCAAACATCAAACCCATAGCTAGTTAGACTTGAAAAGACCGTGTATGCAAGTCTTATGTTAAATCACCCAAATAAGGCTTAAAAACGCCGACTTAGAGATCTGAAAGGTGAGAGAAGCTAGCAGAAATTATATGAACACTATGTAGTATCCAAGGTGATGTGGATGGTCGTCATCCTAAAAGATATATCACATTAACACAAAGAGCTGAATACATATCATAGGAAAAGTTATTTTACAGCAGTGTTTTGGAAAACGACTGGGAGATGGAATCTAATTATTCAGCGTTTAAGCATCAATCGTTTAGTAACCCACAACTGAAGCAGTGACTAGAAGAGCTTAGTTTATCACAGGCATTTCAGTGTGTTGAACATTTGTTGGGGGTTTATTGTATCAGGTTCTTCATTAAATACTTTTTGGTCCTGTTCTAAACTTCGCGAAGGCATGTAATGTAAGCATTATGAAAAAATACTGATTCTACTATTCTAAACTCCAAAAACTAATTGCATCACGCCAGGAAATGAGTAAAATGTTAGTTGCATAAACAGAAAAGATTCGTAAAACATAAAATTTTAGGTCTGCTAATTAGAATAAATCTGAAAAATGATTCCCGTATAAGCAGATGCATGTCCAGTATACGCGTTTCATTATTAATGTGAGAAAAAACCCATAATATCACTGTGTTTAATTTTAAAATAATAATTTAGCGTAGTTAACAGCAGACCATGCTTTCTTTTCTTATTATATGTCAACACTGTGTGCTCATACATAATCAACTAATTCTCATATGCATTAACAGAAGGAAAATAAAACATTGACCTACTTGTAACGCCCCAAAACATATGTATAACACGAAAATTCCAATAATACAGACAGTGAGTCTACAATCAGATGTAAGACTTGACATGTTGAAGCCAAATATATAGATGTAGTCATTCCCTTGCAAAATCCTGACTTTATTTGGGCCATGTTGTTCTTCCAACTTGGAAGACATACTCCTTTGCATTTGTATTTGCGCCAAGGTCATCGTGAGGTACACGACCCTGTAATAAACTGCTTTATTTGGAACATTGTGCAAAACGTACAATTCTTTCATCTTCCGTAAAAATCGATTCCTTGGTCAGTTCATGTAGAATTTGATACGGATTTCTAGTTTTTAAATTTCATGTCTCTATCTAGGAGTCAAGTCTTTTCATTTGATGTAGAAGTCTTAGTCCCAATGTGAATGCATCTGATTCCCATGCAGTCTATTTTCCCTAAATATAAAAATTGCTGATGAAGATGTTAACATTATGCGCCTCCTTGAAAATTCTATACTTATGGTTGAGACACACTGTAGAAGCTAAAATGTTTGACGTTTAATTTAAGTGGCAGTTTTTCAAATACACATACATTCATTTATGTCTCATGAGGTTCAAACTCATAGAATCAAGTGAGTGGAAGGGGCCGGGAAGATAAGACTTCAGATGAACATCTAGAAATCAAAGGTGATGAAAATACTTGACTAATAACAACAACCGCAACAAAATACACAGACACCGTCAATAGGAGAAATTGAAGGGAAATCGTCGCCATCACTCACCTATCTGGACTGGCAGCATGTCTTTTACTATAGTTAGGCAATACAGATAAGTATGCCAAAACCAGGAAGCTCATTAGCCGGCCATAAGGATAAGGAAGTCAAGAGAGACGTTCATTGATCAGAAAATTGTGTGGGAGTCTACAGCTCTCAGTAGAAGCTACAAGAATTTTCAACGACAATGTGAAGTCAGAACTTCTGTACGATTCAGAGACTCGGTACAGGGCTTGTCGAAAATATTTCCAACAGCCTACCGCAAACCTGCATCAAAATGTGCCTTTTGTAGCTAAATATAAAAGAAGACGGAGATTATCTAAATTATGTGATGTATTTGCGTTATACATTTCGAACAATCTGATCACACATTTACTTGTCAAGTCGATATATATATATGAAAATTCTAAATTAAACAAAGTGACTAAAAAAGGATTTAAGAATGATTAACACAACGTTCGGTAATCCAATCAAATAAGGATTACCAAGGTAGGTTAAGAGTAATAATAAATTGTTTTTGAATACACAGCGGGGCTTAAGTTTATGAATAGCTATAGCCTCGGCGTCTTTCAAGAAGCGCCCTTGACCGTTTTTATAGATGACCTTAAGGGTCGAGGTGAAATCAATCTTATGGTTCATCTGTATTAGGTGTTTAGCTACAGACGAAGTTTGTAGTCTGACACCTGCATCTATTGGTTTTTCACAGTTCATTTGTTTTTCTAGCCATTTTGGGATATGCTCTCCTACCCTCACATGCAAAGCGTGATTACTCCTCCCTATGTATGTGTGACCACACACACATGAAAATTAGTAAATAGTCTGACAGTGGCGAAGGTATAAGTTACAGTAGCCTCATATTCTTTAGGAGCAAATAATGTAACGCAGAAACAAATTGTTCGTTTAAACTACAATTACTTCACCTAATTTGATGCCGGAATTTAAGGAAAGAATCCGAAATAAGTTGATACTTTCAAAAAATTCGTCCTGAATATATTTGTTCTCAGAATTTTACATCATTCACTTTACTCCAACACATCCATACCATGTATACTTTCATTTACTGTGTCTACGGGTACTGCCAAAGCTTCAGCTGCTACTTTTTAGCAGCCGTTTTCCCACTCAATCAGATAAACAATACCTGCTGATCCACCACGCGACCGATACGAAACTGAACAACCTGACAGATCTAAATAAAGTTGAAAACCTTTCCGTATAATTTGTCCGACTTTTTATCCTAATCCAATTGAGAAAACACGCCGTTGTCAAATCTCTTATTTTTATTTATTTGAGATTAATAATCAGTGATGAAGCAGTTGAATCTGGCCATAATCCGAACATTACTACACCGTGTTCATTAGCGACCAGGTTCTTAAACAGGGGGAGAGTATTCCGAAAGCATTGACACCATTTCATGAACCGGTATTTAAAACTCGAGCACATACTACCCGCTCCGATAATATTACCATGTTGCCACTATCCAGTAGTGAAATACCTTGGGCGAATCAAATGGATGTGCTGCCACACTTGTCTCCACAAGTATCCAGAGTGTCACACATAACAAGGTTTAAAAATAGGTGCTTAAGACATAGTACGACCTCAAAGGCGTTATCCGAGAGACTAGGCAACTGTCAGTTCTGCAATCCTATTGTCTGCAGAAGCGACTCGTGATTTGAATGCAACTTTCGTAAGCTATGGGTGCGATGATGTTGGTAAAAGGTAGTGCCGAAACCCTATCACGACCTTACGGGAAATAACTCATGCACACGATTCAAGTACACATGCCCAAATGGCCGTTGTCACATGGTCTCCTGCAGCGTTCCACAGGAAGTTGAAAATAGCACACCACCAAAATTAGTTGAAAAAGTGAAAATTATGCTGTAATTAAACTGTATAAATCAACTGAAACCAAAATGCCTGAAGTCATATTCGGCAAACGTGCCACTCGTGTGAACACTAAAAATACAATTGCGGGAGTAACAGCGAACTCGGCTACCGCAATAGGACCATTTTCACCCGTTAGCAAGCATGATAGTGTGACACAGAATAATAAAACTTTGAAGACGCCTAAGGTTAGCAATCTTCGAAAGGACGATAAATAGCCAAAGACTAAGTCCGAGTCCAGGATAAGTTGGACAAACAGTCTTGTCGTTTTACCGTACCAGTGTACCTCAACAGCTTACTATTTAATCGGAGGAGCATTCTTACTTGTGCAGAAGATTAGGGTTTGATATCAAGTTCGTAAACCTTCGTAAACTGTAAGGGATGTTCAGGCTCTCCATTACAAATCACCTCCATAAAGCGTGACACTGAGCTCTGCTGATGACGCCCAGAATGTGTTATTAGTGTCCCAAGAACTGCCAGTGGAAAGGAGTTATCATATACGAATGAGACCTGATGGACGTTAATGCGCTAAGGATGTCGTACAAGTGTCTTAACTGAATATGAGGTAAAAACGACATCAGGTCGGTTCCATCAGAACCACCCAACGATTTCCGAAATTAGTTCTCAAGCAAGCAACCCACGCCACGCCAAACACTCGAAAGCACGATGAGGTGGTGAGACTGGCCGTCTACTGCCAACATATTAGTGTTAGAAAACTGAGGGGTAAATCAGATGAGTTTGGGAACCCCCAGACACACCTACACCCCAAAATAATAATCGTGATAGTAACTTGGCCTAACCCTATATAGAGGCTGACGGTATTGACGTTCGCGGATTGCACGGAGTATACTAACGCAAGATCTAATACCAACAACTTCTATAGTATTCGTTCCTCGTGTACCAGAGGCAAAGCAAAAGACACGATTGATCGTCCAAGATTTATTTCGGGACCAAATCGTAGAGCGAGATGAATGCTTAACTGGCCAGTGATCGTGCGCGAACGTGACACGACGGAGTACCAAATGGCGCGGATGCTTGACCGGATGCCGTCAGCTCAACAAGTTGACTTAAACAGTAAGGGTTAGAATCCATTGTCGAGTGATGAATGCTGTGGTCAATAATTTTGGGCAATTATTTACCGCTACAGTTCACTCCCCCCCAGTAGGGTTGTTACGACCCGAAGACAGAACCAGCCGGAAGTAAAAACAACCCGACGGTTCCCCATCGGTAAAAAAATCTTCCGAGCGGCTTGGTGGAGTGCCTACTGGTCGTCTACCTATGCTAATAGGATGTATGTACATGGCTTCCTTGATGTTAGTCCGTTGGATCTCGTGCTTCGTTTGCTTCTCGCCCAGTGCCCGTCACACCTGGAAAACAAAACAAGAATGCTGAGAACCCAGTCGAGGAAAATGTACCAAAACAGCGTTTTAAAAATGATACGCACCAGTCATACAGTAAAATAATGCAAAGATTGGAAAATCAAAAAAGTATGTATCTAACTATTTCAGCGGATGTAACATGTGCGGTTATCGAAAAGTTTTTTACTTGGGTTTCGGGATGCAATATATAAAAGCTGATGTGTCTGAAAGGAAAAAATAATAAATACCACAAGCGAATAAGAGTTGGGTGAATCGAATCACTTAGTTATGTTACGTAAGTGTGAAGATATTCTGGGAATCTCACGTTTCGTCTAGAACGCGTTTACTTCGAGGGCTCTACAGAAGGTTCAGCTGCTTTCGCCCTGCTAGAAATTTCCTCGAGGACTAACGAATATTCGATTACTTGTGTATTTTTGGGAATGCTTAGTTCCAGGCTCATGGGATTGCCCTCTAAGTAGGCCGGTTTCAGACGGTTGATGGTGTCTTCGCGGCCAGTTTTGTCTAAGACAAAGAATTTATCCGTCGTATGGAGGTTACAGAGGGCGACGCACAGAGTCACGACGAACGAATACATGTGAGGAAGTTTTCAAACACGGATAAACAAAAGTTGCCATGGACTGTGGTCGAAGGGGAGCAGGTTTAACCGAGCGCATTGCGTTTGTAAGCCTGCTGACGTATGAGGCTTGATATAACGCTGGTGGGAAGCTAGAGAGAGAAACAAATTCACCTGTCAGTCGTAGTGTTGTGTCATATACTAGCCCAGTGGTAGTACAACCAGCATCGGTTTTCAAGGCTTTTCGTAACCCTAGGAGAACTAACGGAAGTGATTCATTCCAATGGGTATTGTTTGCAGCTGATAAACCAGCTTCCAACTGTCTGTGATGACGTTCTACCATACCATTAGCTTGAGGATGGTAAGATGTTGTTCTAAAAAGCATACAACCTATTATTTTAGTCAGGTTGAAGAATAAGCCGCTTTCGAGCTGCCCCCTGCGATGGGCATCCAAAGTTCGCGATCCATCTTTCCGCGAAGACACGTGCTACTGTTTCAGCAGATACATGCTTGAGGAGGTACTGCTTCGGGCCATCGTGAAAAACGATCGATGCAGATTAAAGTATAGGTATATCCACGGGATTCCGGAAGGGGTCCAACCAAATCTATATGAACGTTTTCGAAACGAGCGTCAGGGATAAGAAAGGTACCAAGGG